TTTACATAGTAAATACCCGTGTGAAAGTCTAACATACAAGCTTCCCAGTGACCCAACTTTTTGATACAGATCCACTAATGAGGCGGCACAGAGCAGGATATCAAAGGCAGAATTTGAAAAGCGAAAAGAAACCTTCATTACTGTGAATTGATCAATGTGGAAATCTGCTTCACTCAACATATGGAATAAAATTCAGATCTTCAAGACAAACCTCAAAGAGATCCTTCTATAGGGCTGAGATACGTGTCGCGCGTGTTACAAAAAGTATTTCCAATAGACTGAAAACGTTTACCAACAGTTGCTCGCATTGACTCGAGATAATGAAGATCAGATAGCCGGTTAGGAAGGAAAGATAAGCAACAAGGAAATCTAGCAGACAACGAATCAACTAGATAACCTATCACTCAACAGACATGCAGAAAAAGTGGGGACTGTTGAGTGACAGTCGCGCGCCAAGTAAACCCTCAAGTGGAAGCTGAATGAGTAACGACTAGTTAGACGTAGGTCCTAGCGTGACATGGAGGAGATCGTGGGAGTTGGAGGAAATGAAAGCTTATAGGCAATTGTGTAGCCAGCTGAGAAAGATTGTAGAGAAGAGGATGTAATTGAGATCTGCTGGGGAACTCAAGGGAATAATATAATATAATAATGAAAGTTAGTTATCCAAATTTCTGGTGTCCAAAAAGAAAAGGTAATGCATGCTTATTCAAACAAGCATATCACTAAACTGAAGTCAGAGTACACAATGGATGCTGTATCCGTCCTCTTTTGGTCCTTTATTCGGATTATATATTTGATAACTTGCTTAGTTCACATTTCCATAGGTAAACTGTATTGTATTTCCTTTCCCCGTTGGTCTATACAAAAGTGTTTATTTCTTCTGGGGTTAAATTACAGCATTCTTAAGAATGTCAATCAGATCCCTGTAAACTAACACCTGAAAAATAGTTTAGTTACTGAATACTGGATGAAGTCGCATGTGAAGGTCTAGTGTGAAGTCATAACCAGCGGGGTCCACCAACTTAGGTTCCAGTGCTGAGTAATCTGTAACAACAGTGGTTAGGACTCTCGCTGACCATGCACATGGTCCGGGGTTCGATCCCCTGCCGACGCACACCCGATATCTATGGTCGGCCTGCAAAATTTGGGCTATCGATATCACATGCTGAAAATCCCATACTTGTACCGAAAATACATTGTGGAATCAAGCTGTAATTAAAAAATGATAAGGGCCAGGCAACAGATCATTTATTAAGGAAATCAACACATACATTATAGATTTTCATGTACATATTATAGATTATTGTTAGCAGAAAAACACAGTCTTCTGATTGGTGGTTGTTTCTCACAGAAAGTTAACCTTGCATCTCTTTGTGACTGTTTCTTGAATGTCAGGTCATCTATGTGTTAACTTTATCCGCCTACGCAAAGCCTTTGTTCTCATCTTTCTTACGACCAATATTGGGGACATAAATATTGACGTGAATTACTGTCCACCAATTTCGACTAACAGTCAGTTCCACCACAAATCTATGGGTTAACCTTGTACCTGGTAGGTCCCGGGTTCGTTCCACCGGAGATTCCCGAGCTAGGACGAGACAGCTGTCCAGTAACCCCTGGTTTCCCAATGGCGAATGTAATGGAACTTTAAAAATAGTAATGTTGCACATCACATCTTTATGTAGTCTAATCTATTTAAATCAGTTTCCAAGCTACTCTGACATTTCACATCAATCGAAATTCTCTGTATATATATAGTAGAAAACATCCCTTGTGTTTTACATTGTCATTAGCGTGCGTCTTTTCTTGTCTCGTCTGTCTGTATCCTAAATTTCTATACTGTTGTTATTGTTGTTTTTAATTCTGTTCATCTTTATTAAAGGACGCTTTGTGATGATTTGCATGCTATAAGCGTATATAATGACTACTACTATTTAATTGTTGATGATGGTTAGTCAGGTAAGCGTGGTGTGTTGTTTTTTTTCTCACTATTTCCTCCACTCCTTAACAAAGCCCTATCTGACTATTTTTTTTGTTTTTTGTTATGCACAATTCTATCGATCATTTCTCTCTCTCTCTCTCCGCACATCTCTACCTCTTGGGTCCCTCCTCTTTGCCTCTCTGTCTCTGTGTTGTTGTTATTGCTTTTTCTTCTGAAAAATATGTTTTCCAACTGCTTCTCAGCTAACACTCACCTAACCATTATAATTAATCTTGTGAACAAAGAAAATTGGCTAACATAGCAGTGTGTGTGTGTGCTTCTTTCAGTTGCTTTGACTGTCTTTGTTCCGATTTAATTTGTTTTTCTATTGCTTTTTGGTGCTTTCTTCATCCTTGTGCTGTTTTCTGTGGGTCTGTGTGTGTGTGTGTGCGTATCGGTGACTTTTGTTATTGTTGTTGGGTGTTGCTACTGGTTGCTTGCTAGTGTCGTGGTGCTGATGGTGTAATGTGATGTGGTGCTCTTTGTAATCATGTGTTTTCATTCCTATTTGTACTTCAACTATTCCATATTATCTTTTTATTTTTTAGTTAATAAACACTTTTGATTAATTATTGTGAATATTGTGTGTAATTCGATATTTCATTTCCTTTTTTCTTTTGTGATTTTTCTGTTTTCATTTGCGGTGAAATTTTCTTAACCACAGTGTATAATTATGATTCTGTTATTAGTTATTGTTGTTGATGTTGTTTCTGTTGCTATTTCAATACAATTGATTCAGAGTGTCTCATTGCTAACATTCAAGTTCATCTATGGATAACTTTTGTTTTGCCCCCCCGCCCCCCACCAATCTCTCAATCACACTTTTAAACTAATCAAAACTTTGATTGACACAAGTGATCTGTAATTTATCAAATGGTTGGAAGGCTTGCTTTTGAGACACCTAGGTTTCCTGCTTTTAGCACTCACACCAGTCAACAAGGAACTCATTTCCCTCCTGAGATTCGAACCCTGTCACCACCCAGTGATGAGGTCAGAGACGTTACCACTAAGCTACTGGGACTGGCGATCCACCTCCTATAGGACTAGACATCCAATCCTAGTTACCATCTAGTATCCAACCAAATGTATCCAATACAGTCTTACAGAAGGTGAATAGTGAGACTTAGTAGTAACGTCTGTGACTGCAACACTGGTTAGTGACAGGAGTTCCAAGCTCAAGAGGGGCATAAATTCTTTGAAGACTACAGACGAGTGCCAAGCCCTGTGTTCTATTCGAAACGTGTATGTTTTGTAAATGAAATTAGTTATCTGAAACAGATGTTTCATGTGCCATGATATAAGGCATACTTTCTTTGCGATGATTGGTGGTACTACGTTTCATTTGCCTCACACTTATTAGGCCTAAATTGATCTGAGTAATCGATTAGTGCTTTTGCTGCTTTACACCTACTCTATACAGGTGACTATGAAACAGTCACTGTTCTGTCATTTACTACTTTTCTCTAAAAGTTTATCTACTCCCTAAAATTAACCTGAGTTTTTGTGTGCAAGTGATTCTGATGAACTGTACTCAATCACTATGAAGGGATTAGTAGTCTCTCACATGAATTATTATGACTAGATTATATCTTGGTTTAATTTGATTGTTGGGTGGTCGAAAAGTCTTAGATTCAGAACTGTGGGTTTCATCCTATCTGTGACTCGTCAACTGGTGGATGTACTTGTATCCACACACTGTGATGTTGGCAACAGCTTACTTTTGAAGAATGTGTGTGTGTGTGTGTTACTTCGTAAACCTCTGTTGTTTGTTTGTTTGTTTTTCCTTGAACAATTTCCTCTTTTAAGCAAATGTAGTTACCATTAATTGTTTCACCTCTTTGATAAATAATTGTAGTAAAATCAAGACAGATTGTTGCGTGATACACGTGTGCTTTGTTTACGCCGGATTACTATCGCTTTCGTCAATGGAGGGATTCCGCCTCCTCTTTTTTTCGCCCATTTTCACATAGTTAACAACAAGTGAACACTTATGCAGAAGTCTGTTATAGAAAATAATAATGCATGCCTATTTTGATGCTACATTTTGTTTTGATGTGTGTGTGTGTGTGTGTTGGCCTACTTATGCCCTTAAAATCCTATCTTGATTGTGTTTCAATTCAATTGAATAGCAATAATAACGCATCTGTGCCTATTTTGACGGGATAAATAGTCAGCCATATTGTAATCATTGATTCTCTTCCACTTTCTGCCTTACTATCTTGTTATAGACGCTTAGTTAACTAATTATATTTGAAAGTTTATCATCATAATATGTTGTTAAATGTTTCAAACATTATGGACGCCTATTATGGGAGTAAAGTAGTAGGTGGTTGAAAAATAACAACAATGTGTAGTAGTAAGTCAGCCATCATTCCTATCGATCCAATTTACTAATTTCGTTTTCCACCTTCCTTGTTTTGTGTTTGTTTTCTCTCTCTCACTCAATATTCTCCCACATTATCGATCAATGGTCATTATTCACTAATAAAATGCAGCATTAAGTGTAAAGGAGATGTGCTTTTTTCCACACACACACACACATACATGCATATAACCATCATCATCGTATTATTGGTTTGTTCTGTTCAACTCCTCTGTTTTGTTTTTGATCACTTTTGTGTCTGTGTTCTTGTTCTCTTGTCGGGTGATGATGGTGGTAGTGGTGGGGCTGATGGTTTGCGTATTACGTTTCTGTGTGTTATAATTTTTTTGTTTTGTTTTTTATTTTCCAGTTTCAGTTGGTTTTCATTTCACCGTATTCACTTTTGAGATGTGATTACTGTGCTTTATTCACAGCCTTTTGTTTTACAATAGCGTTCATTATTTTTCATTGTTGCTGCTGGGATTGTGTTTTGTAAACATGTGTACAATATGTAGTAATCATAGAATAATCATATATTTGTGTGAATAATTATTTTAACTGGTGAATAAAGTATATATAGAGATATTTAAGTTTACCCCCTCCTCTCTACCCCCATTTTCTTCTGGTCATTCTTTATTTTATTTCACTTTACTTTAGTATTTATCATTACGAAATTTATTCAATGGTCCAGTGGGTGGTGATTTATGCCCCAATAATAATAATAATAATTTGACAACATCGAATGATGTAAATTTGGCGATTAGTAAAATTGATGCAAACAATTCCACTGGTGGTGAATGCTGGAATCCACCAAGTCTACCAATGTAAGTAGTGGATAGTTTATTTTTCTTCTTTTGTTGTTGTTTAGTCTGACAATCAATTGTAGTTAACTTGCTTTGTATATTTTATGTTCTACATTAGTTATTTATTGACTGGATCAGCGATTTCACCGTATTTTGTTTAGTTTTAAGCATTTCTCATGGATTACTCCTACATTTAGTTAACTCTCGCATTCTGCCTATTATTCTCTATTGTCCCCCTTAGTTTTTCCTGGGCTACTGAAGAAAGACTATACCTTATTACACAGGATGTTAAAGGTTGTCAGCAGGGTAAGCCGCAGGGTGCCACTTAACCATCTTGTTAATATTCTGGCTGACAGACACATAGACTCATATGAAAAATGGGCTAAATCCGTTTTATCTAACTCACAACACCCTCTTCATTCACAACTCTCCCCCTGTATCTCACCAGGCAAAACCAGAAGCCTATATAGAAAACTATATGCTCGCACTAGTAAGTACAAAAACTCAACCATACCCTACTTAGCTCGTGTTCCGTGCGATAAAGAAAGTATTAGGCGTGATACCTATAACTTATTAAATAGTCAGTTGAACAACTGGATCTCGTCTTTCCAACCCATATCATGTATAGGTACAACGTTTTCTTTCTCTCTTTCTCTTTTTTTCTTTTATGTGCTCCTTTGTTTCTTTCTTCTGCTTACGCCAGTAAATATGCTAGCATCTACTTTTCTAACACCTTCAAACACTGTTCAATTTTTGGCTTTGCTACCGACATGCCAGTATGTTGTTGTCAAAATTAATCTGAAATTACCCTTAATCTATGTACAATTATATCTATTGATAACGTACTAACTGGATGCAATATTGTGGTAAAAAATCTGAGAATTCTATTCTATGTATCACAAGTACTGTTTTGGAGTAAAGCAAATTAATATTATTTCAGTTGTTACATTTTTGTCACAAACCAACACCGACAGCTAGAGAGGGAGAGAGAGAGAGAGGTGATTCAAAACTGGGGGATCGCTAGACAGTTGTTTCATCAGTGGCCACTGACCACCCCTCCGGAGTTCGAATCTGAGACTTTTAGGTCATAGGACCAAGCTCATTGACCATTCATCCATTTGGGCCGGAATCCGATGATCCATGAATTTTAACTTTGTTAACCCCGTTGTATAGCGCTATCCTCAACTAATGCCTTCGGTGAGCAACCACTTCACGTTGACATTCATTTGTGGTCATGACTTTCCACCGCAGCTCCGAAAAATCGATCCACCAGCAACCATCAGTGACCTAGCAGTTGATATTCAGATTATAGGATCTTATAATGTGAATTTCATGAATTGTTTTCCGTCTCTATGACAATGATGTTCTTGCCATTAGGTTAGCACAAGAAAGGCATTTTGACTACTAATGGTATTCCCGCACTGTTATTACTTATTTACAAGTTGAAGAATATTCATTTAGCTACAAAAACTCAAAATAACATCTCTCAATTGAGCTTGGAAATGCGGCTTAATGGTCTCAGCCAAATAGATCTAAGGTTCGAATCCCAGGAAAAAAAATAAATATTTATCTTTGAATAATAAACGTCCAATTGATGCAGATAGTTGAGTTTTTGTTTGTGTTCTATCACATTTTTATTACATTGCCAACTGCTCTATACATAAGTATATGAAGGGCCGTATCACCCGGCTTTCTATTAGGCCTATTTTGATGTCTATTAGTCTTATGTGATATGTGTCACAAATCAAGAATAAGCCTGGCAACTTGATTGAAAAGGTTAATTTTTATAATGAATAAGTGCAAAATATCACAGACATTTGATACAAGCCTCTAAATGCCTCAACAGCTGTTCGCCGAGTGAAATCAATACCCAAAGGTGTATATCATGAATATGTGTGAAATAATAAAATGATAACTGTTTGCCAATTTTTAAATATACACCTCAGAACTAGTTGAAATAGCGTGGGTGGTGATTTAGTATGTCTCTGTATACAAGATGCCTATGTGGATATTATATGGTAAGTACTTAAATCGTCATGCTTTCTTTTCAGTTCACTTTGTTAAAATGGGGGTACTGAGCAATTGTTCATTTAAACAGAAGGTTGACTGAACGTAGACGACATGTTGCTGTTAGGCTATTCAAATGCATCAGGATAAATCTATCCAAATATTACCACTAGTTCACTCAATTATAATCCTATGTCGTCTTTTGATAGACTTAACAACATCCTGTTTACTTCTAGTCCAGAATATACTCCATAAGAATCAAAAAATAAGGTGAGCAATATTGAAGTTAGGCTTCGGTCGAGTTCTAGGTAAGGAGGGGAAATCAATCGACGAGGATGTGAAATTACATCGACTGAGGTGGTTAGGACGTGTGTTACGTATGCCTAGTCATCGCCTCCCTCGATGGGCAATGTTAGCTGACATATAGGGTCAGGCTGGAAAAGAGCTAGCGGCGGTCAAGCCAAAACATGGTGCCGGTCAATGAAATCCACAACAGTTAGTCTAAGCCACGTAGGAAGGTGTAGACTTCCTGACTGATTGGGGTCCTCGGGACGGTAAAAACCAATGGTTGGAAACAATTGGTGACATGGCTCAAAATTGTTCTCAATGGCTGGTGCAGATGCATCCACTCCTTGTGACCTATGATTTCCAATAAAACTACGTAGTCCTTCGTTATTACTCTTTCTTTGTCTCACACCTCTGTTTACTGTCTCTATTAAGCATTTCTTCTACCTTCTTCTCTTGCTTTGTGTGGTACAAGGAGGGAGTGTGGCGACTTAAACTGTCGCACATTGGAGCAAAGTTCTATGTCGAAAACAGAACAGAATGAACAGAACAAAATTTTACTAAAATGTTACTGTATAAATAATTGTCTTTCAAAATTAATTCAATGTTGTGAATACAAGAAAAGACGTACCCAAAATATCGAAGCACATTGTAATTCTCAAACTCTGATCAGCAAGCAATGATGGCGTAAAGTAGCTTTTGGTAGAACATAATTTTCTAGTTAATCTCATATTCTCACAGAGAACTTGGTCTAGTTTTCTAGCTGGTCCTAAGTCTGGAAAGATGGGGGAGGTTGTGTTGAGTGCTAATGGCTTAACAGAGGAAAATAAACCTATTCCTTGTTAGAAGTGGAAAGACAGACTGATGCGAATTGATGAATGACTTCAGAAAACCAATCAGCTAATGTGTCTGCTTTCGATAAAAGTAAAAATAAACGTGGAAATATGGAATGTTTACACTCTGTGTGAACATGGGAAGGCTATTCAGATTTCCAAGAAGTGGGACCCGAACAGAAAGCAACGAGTTGGGTGTCCAGGAGTGAAACGAAGAAGACCATATGAAGTGGAGGAGATAATATCTTATGGATAACTATATAACCAGTTAAAATAGACTCCAAATAACAGGATGAAATGGAGATGTGCTACTTAAGCCCTATTTTCCACTTAGAAAGTATGGTAATAACACTAATATTCTCAGAATAAATGAAAAGCTTCTTCTCATCGGAAAGTCCTCACGCAAACTGAAAAATAGTGTCGAATCCGACTCATGCATTTTTGAAACTACTACGAACAGCAAGTCCTTCACATTTGTTAATTGTTTATAGTCTTTAATATTACAGCAGTTAGCTTTCGTTTTGAGAATACTTTTAGTGATACACTTTGTTTTAAAGAATGACGAAGTACTCTTTTTATATTTTCGAGTTTTCTTATTTCCTAATTCACAGTATTATCATGCAAATCTAAACTTGTCATCAGCTGTTTCTTTTATCAGTTATAAAGGCCAATTATTATTAAATGAAAATTTGTTTGTAACCGTGTTGTATGTGTTTGTTTTTAGTGGAGTGGAGGGGAGATATTTTGTTCAAGTGTTGGTTTGCAGGGATTTGATTGGCTTCAGGATCTTATCATGAAATGACATCGGTTAGAGGATCATTGAAAAACATGGGAGTACTGAACAGCTGTTTCGCCCTAGCTCAGGACTCTTCAGTAGTACGCGCCCGCTGAGCTTCAAACCTACGACCTTCTGGTTACAAGGCGAGCTCGTTGACCACCCAGTCACTGAGATCCAGTTCAATAGTCCATGAATTCCAGTCTTAGTTTCCGAGTGAAGTGGGTGTGCATTACTGAAGAGTCCCGAACTAGGACGAAACATCTGCCTACTACTTCCAGGTTTTCCAATGGTCCCCTAACCAATATCGGCTCATGATGAAATCCTGAAGATTTTTTGTTTCCAGCCTTTTGCTAACAATTTACAACGTTTTTCAAATAAACAAACTATTTTCTTGTTGAACTCATAAACCTTCAGTGTAATTGAAGTCAAAATTATTATTATTATTATGTTTCAATATTCATTCATCTGTTTTATTCGTCTAAACAATAAACTTCAGAAGCAGTGTAAACAGCCAATGCTTTTAACAATAAAGGTTGTGTATTTATCGATTAGTGGGACCAAGATAAAATGTAAACAACTGCTATCGGGCTTCATTCAGTCTTCCTCTGCCCAAAGTTATTTTATTTCGTCAAAATGTCACTAAAAAACTTTAAGCCATTGCAGTTATTTGAAGGTAAAGCAGAAACAAAAAGAGAGTTTAATACAGTGGAAAACTTGCTGAAGCGATTGAAGTGAAGGTAGGAGTAACAAATGTCTGCCTACTATCATCGATGATCTACCTAGTTGCGATGGATGGGATAGGAAGTAAGAAGATTGGGATGCCATCGGACGAACGAAAAGACTCCAGATGGTCTATATTTCACTGATGATTTGTGTCTCATCTTGCACAAACTCGAAGACATAAAAACAAAAACTAACAAGTTGCCTGAATACTCAACGAAGATACGAGTTTAGGTGAATACGGAGAAGATAGAGGTGATGAGGATGCCTGACCAATAGCAACAACAAACATCAACTATCATCAGCAAGAAACATCTAATAGAATTCGTCTCCTTCACTTACCTGACTAGGAACCATCGTTTCAAATATGGTTATTACACCTGAGGATATCAAAGACT